GCTTATTTAATTTATTGTATACTTAAAGACACTTGCTGTATGAAGGAACTAATCTCTCACAGTGTTCAGATGAGATTTTGGCTGATTCTTCCACAAAGACTATCTTTAAATCTTAAAGATTTTGGGGGAGCATTAATGAATCTTGATGCTTCTGGAAGAAATTTTACCTTCAAAACTTTACAAACAGATTCTCAGTTCCCAAACACTTCCTTGGTGTTGTTAAAAGACACAAGGTAATGTAACACAGTGATAAACATGCCCCGGCCCCAACATTTTTGGAACATGCTGCTGGAATTAACTCAGAAAGAGTGTATATTTACAGTAATCAATACGGTTTATCAGTTTGGACATTACACATCTTGCCTTTGTACCGTATTCAATTGAATAAAGGTGCAAAAAGATTCTGTTTTTGTTTACATTTTGCACAGCCTTCCCACTTTTTTTGAATCAAGGTTTTAAGTAAGTAAGTAAATAAACTTTATTTATAAAGCACCTTTGGAAACCAAAGTTACAAGGGGCTGTACAGTGCAAACAATAAAGTGTACACAAGAGGTAAATACAGAAGTCAAACATACAGAACAATAAAAACTACATTAAAGGCAAACGCCCGTCACAGTACAAAGTGCTTACGAAACAGATGAACTTTTAGCAGCATCTTAAAACATTGACTTACTCTTGTGTTTTTTATAACAAGAGGAGGACTGTTCCAGAGGGTGGGAGACATGATGGCAATGGCGCTGTCCCTTTCGGTTTTAACAATATGAAAATGATAACTCCACGTAACCATATTAAATATAAACACCCAGAGGACAGACCAGTGCTCATGTTAAAAAAATGTTGTTGAGTTAATGCTTTAGTTTTGTCGGACGGGCTGAAATCAAAGGCAGACACCTCCTAGGACTCAGCATCTTACAGACAAAACAAGATAAATAAGTTGTTTGGGACGTTCACAGCGATCGGATGATATTTGCTTTGATTTGACTCGGAAAGCCATCTGTGTGGCGGTGTGACCTGCGGGGCTGGCGGTGTCACGATGGCCACACGCTGCAGATATCAGCATCTCAAAATGAAAGCGAAGCATTGAAAGTGTGGTAGACTTCAAAATAGTAGTGATGCAGGATGTCCCATCTCTAAATCGGGGTCAGACACTGGCATGAGCACACTGTGACGCACTGCCTGACCCACATCTCATATTGGTGTCTGGTGGTTAACACAGGGATGTCACAAGCATCAGGGCTGAACAAGTACAAACAAAAATACTGAGAATTTGCCTCTGACATAATTTCTTTAACTACTCAGAAGAGAGACAGAGATTCATAATATAACCTTCTAACGGACATTAGAAACACTTTCTCTCCTCTCCAGCCTTTTTCTGTCCCTCTTCATGTTCTTCTTCCCTCGTCTTTGACCTCCCTCTTCCTCTCTTTCTATCCATGTTTAATGAAGTCTCATTAAAGATGCAGACTTTCCACTGGCAAGCTTGCAGGGTGACCCAGACTCAATGCCTTGGAGAGAGAGAGAGAGAGACACACACACACACACACACACACACACACACACACACACACTCATGAATACACTGATCTGCTGCAGTTAGCTGATCCTTTTAAGTCTGAACACACACTATGTATGAAAAATGAAAAGCGACAATTATGTAGTGTCCTTTTATTTTCTCGAAGCGTATTATTATCTGCTACTGATCTGCTACTGATTCAAACTCTGACAGGGTGAAATGAGCACAGTTTGACCTTGGGGTGTGTTGTGTATGTCTGTTTCCACGTCAGACATCTGGCGGAGGCACAAATCTATCTTGTTCCCACGATAACCGCACTTTCTGTCCGTCTCTCTGCCCATACAGACACACTGCACATACCAGTATTTGTCATACATCTGTAGGTGTGTATTAACCACCTCCACCAGCCTCATGCTCACTTGTACACACACTTTCCCCTCCACAAACACGCAGTCTGCAGGTCTGTTGATCTCTGTGACAGTGACAGGTGGTGCTGCATGCATTTCCCCACAGTCACACCCTCCTCCCTTCGCCACGTGTCGGCTTTAGCACACGATGATACAGTCGGAGAGGTTCCCTGTGAAGTGCACTCCGGTTGACTCCAAAGACCTTTTTGGACCAGTTTCACAGGTTCTTAACTCAGGTTTAGAGACGAGAGAAAAATGTAAAGGCAGAGAGGTGAAAAGTAAACAAGAGAGTGAAGGAAGAAGGTGTACTGTAGCAACAACTGTGTGTTGTTTTAATGTTTGTGGGTCAAATGTGATGCACTCAGCAGGTTTGGCTTTGGTGCTTAAGTGTGTTTATGTTTTCAACTCCAGCCAAACCTTGTTTAAGTCCACACAACTTCATTTTGATCTCTAGAGGAGATCCCAAAGTGTTCAAAGATGCCAGATAGACTATTTTGTAAATGGATTATATGTCATTGTTCAAGCAAAAAGGTCAAACATAAGCTGTAAATGATGTATGACGTAGTAAATGTAAGATAGCATTCGGGTTTTGGACTGTTGGTTTGGTAAAGAAGCAATTTGAAGAGGTCGCTTTGAGCTCTGGGAAAGCATTTTTCACAGTTTTTTTTGACATTTTATAGACTAAACGATGAATCTAATAATTGTGAAAATAACTGGCATAATAATCGATTAAAAAAACAATCGTTAGTTGCACCCCTAACACCAAATATGGCTTAAATAATAACATGTACATGGAAAAGTAACACACTATAAACCCACACTTGTCATGCACAAAGTTAAGAGTTGATCTGGTCTATTCTGGCACTTTTTTTTACTTATCTGATGTTCTATTCAACCAGACAGAATCTTCAGTATTTCTGTTTGATGACACGGTGACTCCATAAGAACATGGAGTTTTGGGTTGAATATTTACCTCAGTAAACACTGTATATGTAGCTGCAGTGATGATTTACAACAAGCTGGTACAGAATATGTAATATTGCCCAGAGGCACTCAAGTTTTTATAAGCTGCTTAAACCTGCAGTCTAACATGTTTTAAATGTTTGAGCAGTGAGCCCTTTACATGTTTTAAAGTGCTGTCAGACTCTTTGTTATAGCTGTCTTTTATATACTCTTGCTTATGTATAGTTTTACGTGCTGAGAAAACCAGAGCAGATACATTTCACTGCACCAAATGTACATTTAACTTTTTAATGTGTATGACAATAAACTTAGTTGAACTTAAGTTAACTTTCGTAAGAAATAACTTTTTGTGTATTTGCTGAAAGTGTCACTATATCCTGACAGTGGTACCTGAGACAGATGATCATGTTCCCCTGGCTCCTCTGAGTGCTTCTGATGGCATTTACAAGAACCCACTGCGTCTGAATGAAAACAACCAATCAGAGTCAGGAGGAGTCTCTAACATGGCTTCATGAGGAGCTTTGCAAACACAATAGCTAGTCACCAGCAATGGAAAAAAACTGCCCATCCCTTTTTTGCCACACAACAAAGACAAGTATTTTCTGGCATCAGTTTACTTGTCTTTGCCATGTACCCTGTTGTTGGCAGCACAGTGTGTGCAGAAACAGTGATTGACAGCTGAGGTAGAGACTCCTCCTGGCTCTGATTGGTTGTTTAGTGGATTCTTATAAATGCCATTAGGAACACCAGGAGGAGCCAGAGGGATACTTTTTTTTTTCAGATTATCAGTCTCGTATACTACTTTTATTTAAGTTAGCAACTCTAGCTTTAAAGGTCCAGTGTGTAGGATTGAGGGCCATCTATTGCAGAAATACTATATCATTTTTGTAACTATGTTTTCATTGGTTTATAATCACCTGAAAGTAAGAATCCTTGTGTTTTCATTACCCCAGAATGAGGGGTTTATAGCTACATATGTAGCGGGTCCTTTCCATGGAGTCCACCATCTTGTTTCTACAGTAGCCCAGAATAGACAAACCAAACAATTGTTTATATACATGCCAGACTGCACTAAAGAAATACAACAGAGGTACAGGCTAATTATTTATGTATTAATTATTAATATATCATTAAAAAAATAGTTGAGCACCCTGCATGCGACCTTTTTAAGGGGTGTGTTTAAGTGGAAAACTGGGTTTAAGGGGTAAATTAGGGTTGTTTTTTTTTATTTTCTTGTGAACACATTTTTATTGCAGTAATACAGAGATAGTATCACAGTAACAGAAATACAAGCATTAGAAATAATGTTTGTTAACACATTTAACCCATTAACCCAAACATCACTTACCAATCCCCCATTTGCTTGTTTCACCAAGACATGATTATTTTCTTCAGGAATACCAAACATGGCGATCATTGGGGAAGGCTCAATTGTTAACTCAAATATCTGATAGAACATTTAAGAAGTGATTACAATAGTCAGTAGCCAGTTTTGGGCATGACCAGAAAGTGTGTGAGATTACAGGGTGATAATGAGCATCTTACACAGGAATCTAAGGGTATATCCTCGACAGTCTGGATTTACTGTAATGGCTGTGTGCGCCTAAATCTTTTGCACAGGATGAGCATAATTAGGGGGGTTTGTAACAAACATTTATTGCCAAGTTAATATCCTAATTTATGGTGAAAAGATTCATCACTGTGCATTTAACGACACGGCTGTAAAACAGTTTTATGACATCGTGACAGCTCCAGTTGTGAAGCAAGAGCTTTTAAAACCCTGAACTCCCACACAAAACAAAATGCCAGCTGTAACGATGTGTTCCTGCTGACTCATATGACTATCTTCAATATCTGTAATTATAGGAATATAATCTGTCTTCAGTAATGGTGCAGCTAAGAGGTGTTGGTAGTGGAGATAATTTTTGACTTTGTTGAGTCACTGTAGCTCCTTCATTGTGAGGAAGTGAAGCTTTCTAGTGCGTCTAAGAAAACCTTTATTGTGGCTCATTATTCCTCTTTCTGCAAACACTGAGATGTACGCAGTGTCGAAACTAAAATGTTCTTCCCTTCATATCTCTTCATCTGTCCTTCCTCTTGTTTGTTTATTTTTCCAGATTGGCGCCTATGATCAACAGATATGGGAGAAATCAGTGGAGCAGCGAGAAATAAAGGTATGTTTGTTTTGTTGTTTGCTCCGTGATTATGTTATTTCACTTTTCCATTTTCCTGTTTTTTCTTTGCTCTGCTTTTTCTAAAAGTTTCTCCTCATCCTCTGTCAAGTCTTTTTTTGTCCTCTCTTTGACTTTCATTCCTCCATCTTCCTCCCTGTTTCTTCACGTTGTTGTGTTGTCGCCGTCTCTCACCATGCTGCCAGTTCTTTTCCAGTGTTTTCTTTTAACTCTGTCCTCTCTGCCCTCCTGGCTGGGTGTCACCTGCCCATCTCTCCTTGTCTCCATCTCCATCTCTTCTTCTTCCATCCATCTTTTCCTCCTCCTCTCTACAGTTTATTTCTCTGGTGAGTATACAGCAGGGAGGACGTCCCTCTTGTTGTCCCACAGTGCACGCCTGCTCACCCACGCTGTAGACTACTAGACTGTGACTGGTTGGGTTTGAGTTGCCATGTCAGAAACCCCGGTGTGTTTATTAACCCCACTCTACGTTCACACTGTAGCAACACTGCTGCGTGATTGGCTGCAGGAAGGAGTTGTTTCCTTTAAGTTTAACTGCAGGCAGACGAATGAGGGAACTGAGCAGCTGTGGTCTTTGTTTGTGACGTGAACACACAGCTGGATCAGCATGATTAGTGTGGCACTGAAACTTCTTTACCCCTTAGCAGGCAGTTTTAAGTTGAAAGAGCTGCAACAATGACTCTTAGAGTGACGCACACTTCTTTAAGGTCAGCTCAGATCAAATATTGATGACAAAACGATCTTTTCAGGGTTATATGGCTGTGTTTCTGGGACCAGTCAGTGCTGTGTGTTCCTCTGAGAACAGACATAACAGATTCAGGTAGGGAGGTTCATTCCCAGGCTCTAGTTCACAGCAGAAATGTGCACATGCTCCCTTGTCCTTCCTGTTTAATTTGCATATTTTAATCTGTTCAAGGAGGTTAAGAAGGGGAGAAGACACAGCATCATATTGTGTCCTATCATAGGGAAACAACACATGCAGTAAAACCTTGTCTGCACTTGCTGAAAAGGCTCAGTAGCTGACGTGCTATCTTAGAACACAAGGATGATTGATTCTTTTCACAGCGGTGTCCACAGTCGGCCTTGGGTCAGGACGCTTTTTTCCTTTTAGATAAAGATATGAGTCAGAATTACATTTCTGCAATTATTGAAAAGGACCTTTATACAAGATTGCAAACTAATGCTTTCAACATGAACACCTTGTGGTGTCTGTCACAGCCATCCATTCAAGCGCACCCAAGGGGACTAAAAAGAACATCCAAAGAGCATCAGAGCAGCAGACACCTTCCCTTTATTTCTGGTGCTGTTTGCTGTAAGCCTCCCAACATCGCAGCTTTAGTTACATTGCTCTAATCCCAACCCGTGGGGTCACAGAGTGTGTCCTAGACTTCATTTAATAGCCTTGATTCTGTTTAGTCCTCGATGATTACAACTGGGGGTGTCACAATCATGATTCTAAATGGAAAATTGTTGGGTTAGTTGCACAGCGTAGCTAACTGGTAGCCTGCAGCTGCACTTTTCGTGACACCATTGCGTCCGACCAGGGTCAGCGATGACGTAAAACAACAGTAGAGCTGTGAAATTCTCCTGCTTCCCTGAAGTCACTGGTTTGGCAACATTTTGCCTTCCCCATGAGTCATGTAAACAACAAACCTGTTGTTGACAAACTACAGTTTGTAGATTACGCAAGTGAAGTGAAAGTGAGGTGAAGATCTGGTGGCTTTATGCAGGTGGGGAAAGTCAAACTGAACTTATTAACTGTTGAAATAAGTTATTGTTATTACATTTTTGATAGATCATTTAAATTTGATTTTGATTTGGTTATATCGCATTCGACACATGCAGTGTGTTTGTTGTCTGTTGAAGAATAAGTTGAAACTGTAATTTTAAAAAAAGGAAAAAAGAAAGAACGATGTCTGGGCTCAGCCTTAGAGATAGGGTAAGGAGCTCAAACATCCGGAGGGAGCTCGGAGTAGAGCTGCTGCTCCTTCGCGTCAAAAGGGGTCGGTTAAAGTGGTTCAGGTATTTGACCTGGGCGCCTCCAGTTGGAGGTGTTTCGGGCACGTCCCACTGGTAGGATGCCCCGGGGCAGACCCAGAACACACTGGAGGGATTACATATCTCATCTGGCCTGGGAACACCTTAGGGTCCCCCAGGAGGAGCTGGAAAGTGTTGCTGGGGAGAGGGATGTCTGGAATACTTTGCCTGCTGCCCCCGTGACCTGGCTTCGGATAAGCAGTTGAAAATGGATGGATGGATGTAAATGACAGTTGTCAGGATTCAAAACTATCCGTTAACCTTTACGAATCAAGACTTGATAGTCGATAAACAGCATAGCCTACCATGCTGAAAAACAATGTTTAAATTGATAATTGAATCGAATAAAAATCGAATTTTGGATTCAGAGAATCATTACACCTCAAATTACAACATATAACAACGCTACAACAAAAGGCATATTATATTCACATTCAAACAATAGGGCAATTATAACAGCTCCAAAGAGTTAATATTGATAGAAATTAAAAGAAAGAAAGAATGAAAATAAAATAAAGATTGATCGTGATGATAGCTCTGATATGAATATTTGTGTCAATCAGGCATACAGGAAGTGACTGTTACTGCATCCTATTGGGGGGATTTTTAGGTGCAATCTAGTGCGCCATGATATTCCAAAGTTTATGTCAACAAGTGAAACCATGGACAGGGAAGTTGTAGGTATATAAGCAGAGAGGTAACCAGAAAAACAGGTGTCTCTTTGTGTCACTTTGTCATGAATTTGTCATTTTTTCGGAGATGGTTTTCTTTTATAGCCACTTAATTCTTAAAGCAGGACTTACCGCCTTAGCATTACACATCTTTAACATTATCAGACTCAAATTCCATGAAGCAGGACCAGAGATGTCACCTGGTGCCTCCATTTCCCACAGTGCAACTCAACCATAATAGCTGCTCTGCTCTTTTTTAGTTGGACACATTATAGTCGACCCCTGTAGCACTGCTTCACTGTTTGTGCACAAATTAGAGGCTAATAAGGGGACAGTATAGTTTGTGTGTGTGCTTGTGTGGGTGCACGACTTGAGTGACTTGAGATGTGGAAATTAGAGCCTGCTCAGCTGTCTGCTGCGACCTCTCACTTCTGACCTTCCTCAGATTTAATGAGAGGTTTTCTCACAACCAACGATCCCATGTGGGGTTCGAGGACCTGATATAAAGGCTGCTTACAGTTAGTTAGTTGAGCTATTTGTTTTAGTGTCAGGAAAACTGTGTACATCTACATTTCATTGACGTCTGATGAGCAGTTTCTAGATTCTGTCCCACTTCTACTTCTACCTCCTCCTTCCCTCCTACTTCCCTCTTGTCCTGTAAACACAGGTGAGACAGACACTCTCTTTAATGAGCTCAAAGTCCACACACACACACACACACACACACACACACACACACACACACACACACACACACACACACTCTCTCTCTCTCTCACACAGACACAAACACAGTGCTGCAACCTTGGGTCCTCATCTGTAGAGTAATTGGTTTCTCAGAGTTCATAGCTGCAGCTGAGAGTGTTAAGCAGTGTGTTTCAGCAGAGTATATCTGAGTTTGATATGGAAACAAGATGTGTCACTCCTCTCCCTTATAACGTGTTAGTTAAACTGTTTATAGCCTCAATAAATTTAGATAACCAGTTCTTCCCAATAAATATCATTAAACTCAGCTGTCTGTAAAAGGACCTGTTTTAAGGAGCCAGATGTCGCAACAGCAGCTAAATCTAGAATCTAGATACAGCTGCTATTTAAGTCTTTATCATGCTCTGAAGATTCATATTTTTAATCTCTGACAACGCACAGTGTTAACTTGCAAAAGAATAATCGATGTCCAACAACCAAATGGTTTCAAGACCAATAAGGAAAGTAGAACTGAAACAGATCTTGTCTCTACTGTTTCCTCGTTTCCCTTCTGATCTCAGACTTTGCAGAAGCAAACAAGACAAGAAACGTGCAAATATTATATTAACAGTTTTATTTCATCTTTTTCCTAAAGCATTTAAAGCTGCTCTGTCAAAGTAATTCAGTCTCCAGCACTTGCATTATCAACTCTGCAGTTTTCAAAGTGCCAAGCTCTGCAGAGGAAATGCAGTCGCCACCTGCTGGTACAAACAGGAAACTACAATATATCCAGTACTATTTCGGCTCAAATTCTCATTGCTGAAATACATTTTAAATATGTACCATTTCAGGTGTTTAGCAGATAGTGCCACACACAGATAAGCATGAATGAAAGCAACATGATAAGGAGCCTTTAATGAAGAATGCAAAGAGTAGCTGTTTGAAACACTTACACTTTTCTTATCTTCCTGAGTGAATGACCGGCATTCGTACATGCAGGACCAATCAGTCAGTGAGGCGACATCATAACTTGTAAGTGAAGGAGAAACTAGTTTATACAGATAAGAGGCTATGAATAGCACGGCGACAATAGTCGTGGCCAAACGAGATGTTTGTGAAGGACTTTTACTGCTGCGGTAAATCTACTGCCAAGAGGAAGCTATTGATCGGCTTCTTTTAGCCCTGCACACACACACACACACACGCACAAACACTACTTTCCTGCTCTTCTACTCTCACGTTCTCCCTGTCTGTCTCTCTCTCTAACACACAGCGCTTTCGCTCGTTGGTTGTGCTATTAAAAGATAAGCCGCCGTATCAGGCCATTTACTGATAACACAGAACCTGATTGGCCTGTATGTAAATATTAGCATGAGCCAGTCAGATTGAAGTGGACAGCTCAGTGTGTTCGTTCACAGGACTCTCGAATGTGACTCAGATCCTTGAAATGTGCAGTATTTTAAAGATGTGATAGGACTTGTTAAGAATTTCCCCACTCTTGTACCCAGGAAGTGAAAACCCTTGAGTAGGGCTGAGTGTTGTTTGAAAATTTGATACTAGTGCTGATAAAATACCTGATTTTGGGTGCTGGTACCAAAAATATGCTTTTTCAATACCTTACTTTATTCAGTATAAATGTTTTTCCCATTTTTACATTTGATTTTAGAAGCCTAAGTTCTCTTATGTTAAATGTTTAAACACAAAACAAGACTAAGCCAATTAATCCACCTAAATAATGTCTAAAAATTCATTTGTATTGGTTTGGATGGGAAACTGTTAGTTGTGTGTGTGTGCTGTGTGCATAGTTGTGTGTTATTTGTATACACAGCACTGTGGTCATGTCTGTGTTTACTCAGGGCCATTGATAAGAAACCTCATTAAAACCAAACTATTGTCCGGCTGCTCACCATAGTAGCGCCTACATTGTTGTACTTAACCTCACACACACACACACACACACACACACACACACACACAATGCAGGAATTGTCGGTTTCTGTAAACACAACATTCAAACTTGGCCCCTGCTCCCTACACTGCTTGAACGTACCAAGCAGCAACCTTGGGCAGGATTATGAAGCCAACGCAGACGTGCCTAAAAACTGCAGGTCCTTGAATGGCCACTTGAGGTTGACCTCTGAAGCCAATCAATTCCCATAGACCCCCATGTTAAATGCCCAACTTTGCAGCTGAAATAAACATTAGCCATGTTTCCATCAGCCTGTTTAGATGCGCATCTAGAAATATCGCATTGGAAAATTATGATGGAAATGCCAAAATTCGAATTAAAATCCCCTGATTCGCACAAACTAAAATACGCTCGCTTTAGCCGGGTTTTGGTTGATTGGAAAAAATGTTGATTCGCAAAACGGGGGATGGAAACAGTTATGTTCGAATTAAGTCTGACGTAGCGCACCTCTCTCCATGGTGATATCCACACTCTGGGTCGGGAAGGCGATAATGCATTTACAAGCTGGTTGCCAACCGCCAGAAAACGTAGAAGAAGAAGAATGCGAGACTTGTTTTGTTTCCAGTTCTGCGGAAAACTCGTGCGTGTTCGTAGTTTTCACCAAAGTCCGTACATTTAATGGAAACACACAGGATTCTTTTAAGGAAAATCCTGCATAGTATGTCTTTAAATATTTATTGTATTTATGCTGTTCTCCTGTCACCCACAGAGGGCAGCTGTCCTTGCAACACATGTGAATTTTATAATTTACAGCCACTGCTCATAAAGTGTCAGTACAGTTTGCCATCACAGCTGAGCTGATAGATGAGTCACACATGCACACACGAAGTGTATGCATCATAGGAGGAAGTGACTGGTTGGCACAGGAAGTCAGCGTACCACAGGGGAGTGTTATTCCCATGGTCATAAACTGCACAAAAGCACTGACGTATGAAGCTACAACAGTAAACCTCACTGTGATGAATGATGGCTGTAACACACTTTGTTGAAATGATGCAGCTAAAAAGTCTTGTCATCAAAGTCTTGATGTTTTTTATTGACTGCAACCAGCAGCTCCTTTGGTTGGTGGGTTAGTTGGTCTATAAAAAGTTTCCCACCCTTTGACAGCCACAGTTTTTACCCTAGGCAGCTGAAATTTTGCATGGAGGTCAAGTGTATGTGTGAGTGGCAAATAAATCCAAATAGATTCACAGACTTGCCCAAGATTTTGTGAAAGATTTGTCCTGAACCAAAAGACTGATTAACTGATCATGCATGTACGTGGGTGCAACTTGCAAACTCATGCTGGTTTTCTTTTCTCTACTGAATTCTTTAACAAATGCAAAGCAGCAAAAGAGACTCAACATTTAGATGGACTTGATGCATTTAGGTTTAGGAACGTGCTCCTTAATCCAGTAGATGTGAGTAGATGCCCATACAGTGAAATGGAGAATAGAGCCAGTAGCTGTGTGAGCCTGACTGCACGGTGTGCCTTCTTAAAAGCTGAATATGTGTGTTCATGAAGGCATGAGAAGCCTCCTGTAGTTTAGTTCCTGTTTGTGTGTGTGTGTTAATATGTGTGTATTAATAATTAATGTCTCTGTGTGTTTTCTTTGTGTGGCATTGACTCCGTTTCTCTCTGTCTCCCCCTGCAGGGCTTGAGAAACAAGCCAAAGAAGACAGGACATGTCAAACCAGACCTTATAGATGTGGACTTGGTTAGAGGTGAGAAAAAAATGTGTGTGTGTATGTGTGTGTGTACTTCCTCTTCATCAAGCTAATTAGATCAGACCCCGAACATGCTCTCTGCTAAAGCTAAGAGACACACAACATGGTCTCCTCATAAAACACACACATGAACCTGAGATGCCGGCGTCACCGTGCCAGCCTCCTGTCACTGTTAATCTTCACCCTCTTTCTGTCCTCATCTCTCCATCTGCGTTCTCATCTCCTCGCTTCTGTCTCATATTCATCACACTTTCAATTATTCATCAAATCCGTCAAATTTATCTCCCGGTGTTATTTTATCACACGTGAAGACAGATTAGGTGATCAAGGAGGAAATGTGGGAAGGAGTTGATGACCAGACGGAGGGGGGGCGGAGGGAAGTAGACAAAGATGAGAGATCTTTGCAGAGATAGGAGAGGAAGAGGAGTCGGAGAGCGAAGATGCAAAAGATAGAAAGATACACACACTGCTCTAATGTGACTCCAGGATGTATTAAGTGATGAGCTTTTTGCTTAATTAGTTCCTCTCGTTAAACTAAGTGTGTGTGCCTGAGTGTTTTTATTCTCTTCTTCTGAAGGTTCGGCGTTTGCCAAGGCCAAACCAGAGAGTCCATGGACGTCACTGACGCGTAAAGGCATTGTCAGAGTCGTCTTCTTCCCGTTCTTTTACCGATGGTGGATCCAGGTCACCTCCAGAGCCATTTTCCTCTTACTGCTGGCTCTCTACCTGTTGCAAGGTGAGTTAAAACAATTGATCCTCAGCGCTTGTTTAAATCTTCTACCAAAAAAACAAGTTCACAAGATGGTCAACAACAGGTTTTCTAAAAGCACACATGCAGTAACATGTACTCCTGGGTTACGCCTACAGAGCTGCACAAACACTTGCAAGATCACTGCACAGTGTTTCCCACCACCTACACCACGATGCCCTTTCCAGCTCTGATGAGAACAGACTGTTTTTTTATTTTGCATCTCTCTCTCTCTCTCTCTCTCTCTCTCTCTCTCTCTCTCTCTCTCGCTCTCTCTCTCTCTCGCTCTCTCTCGCTCTCTCTCTCTCTCGCTCTCTCTCTCTCTCGCTCTCTCTCCGCCCTTCCTGCTCACTTCCCCCACATACCACATAAAAACACACACACACACACACACCTTCTCTTTGTTTTAAACAGGGCCTATTATGATTCTCTTTATTTCTGTTATATGTATTATGTTCCAGTGTCTGATGTTCATATTAAATGTGGCTGAAGTTTTAAATTATGAGGTTAACATATGTAAAAAAAAATCCCTGTGAGCAAAAACCTCAGGCTTCAGACTGTTCTGAATACTCTGTTACCAACATCTTTTTACTTTCATGACAAGTTAATGTCAGCTTGTGATGGCTGTCTTGATATAGTCATCTGCTGCAGGCACACTACTGCCAGTTTTAATATTACACAGCACACACTAAGGATCAACCGATTATCAGCCATACTCAGCATTTTTACTATTATCTGAATATTTTTTTCATCCCAGAGCTGATATAATAAATTCATTGAATAGTGCAGTAAAGAGAACACAAACACTCAACACGGTGGTGTAGAAGCCCCATTGCCAGCTAACGTTTTGGAGGTGTAATTGCAGAGAGTACAGCATACCAACTTCAAGAAATGAAGGCTGCAGTACATGTAAAGAAGGTGGAAGAGCAGTGGCTCTTTTTTTAAGATAATGTTAAAAGTAAGCAGCCTATGTTTAATCACTTTAACACAGGATACCTAAAGGCATTTTATAGGTTATTGCAAGGTTTTGTGTTGGTGTTGTGGAGTTTGTGTTCTTTCAAATGTTGGCACCAATATTTTCATTTTTACCCCAAATTATATCGGTTAACAGTCTCCTTGATCATTTGCTAATAATCAGTAAGGGAATTGACCCTGAGAAACCATATCTGTTGATCCCTAGCCTACATTGTTACATGTAGCCTCATGCTACCAACGTCAGGGGAACCTGCTGATGTTGTAAAATTCTCTCTGATTTTGGATCATATTTCTGCTGCAACATGTCATGTTGTGATGATTTAGGTTTAGAAGCTTTTTATGGTGATTTATTTGACAGCAATGATGGTGCAGAGACACTGAGATTGCAGATATGTAACACTCGGGAATGGTTACCAATCAGAGCAGACTGGGCTTTTTCGGGACGGGGGTTTAAAGACATTAAACTAAACAGAGCATTTCAAAAAGAGGGTAAATGTACAATAACAGTTGGCAGACACAAAGCAACCACTGGAGTTTGATGGATTTAAATCCAGTATCAACTTTTAGCCACATTTTTGTCTCCACAAACTTTTTTTGGGAAAAAAAATCTGGATCTCGGGCACCTTGACTTTCTTCTACATGCATGGATCATAGTTGTGTGTGCACATTTCCTGTAGGTGCAAGGACATTTGAAATCCATATTAAGAAAATGTGAACTTGTGAACTGGGAAACCAAAACAATGAGCTACAAGCGTTAAAAGCCACAGAGTTTGGTGTTAAGACAGTAACATTTACACTGGCATTTAATTTCTCTGCTTATAATGTGGTAACGTTTGTCTCTCCCCCTGCAGTGGCAGCAGCGGTCCTGTATGTGACCATCCCCCAGCCTCATGGGATACCAACCACCGAGGTGTTTGGAGCCATCTGGCTCATGTTGCTGCTGGGCACCGTCCACTGTCAGATCGTCTCCACCAGGACCCCGAAACCTGCCTCCAGCAGCGGAGGGAAGAGGCGCAGGTAACAATGAGAGAACACTGTGTATGAGGAGGAGTGAAAACCTGTTCAGGAAATGATGCACAGGGGGAAAGAAGGGAGAGGGGCAGAAGAAGAAGAAGCAGGAGGGAAGTTTTTTGAGCGAGGAATAGATTAATCATACAAAGAGAGACTGGAGGAGATAAAGAGAAGAAGGGAAAATGGAGATATCAAGCACGAGAGGAGAAGAAGAAACAAATGAATCAGTCTTTTGTTGCTGGGTTGCGTGTGTCCTCGCTGTTTGCTTCTGTCAAGTTCTCAGTCAGCTTCTTTCACAAAATATCAAACTGAACAGAAGCATTTTTATCATGGAGAGAGTTTCTGTCAACATCAGCAGACTCTGTGTAAAAGTTACGAGACAACCAATAGGGGAAAAAGGATTTGTATTGTATCTAGATGACCTGTTTACCACTCGCCAGGCGTGTTCACCTTAAAGAGTCTCTCCATGATAAATCTAATGTCAGTGGTTAAAGACCAACAGGATTCACTGTGTGTGGCAGTAGAAAGTAGTTTGCTTTACTTGGTTTGTTTTTGTAGTTTTTAGATTTGCAGTTTGTGGTTTTCTCTCTGTCAGTTTACAGCTTGTCAGTGTGTGGCTGCTGTTTCTGGTTCAAAATGATTTTAAGACAATTTTCAGACTCTTTGGGAAGAAAATTGGACCATGCCACAGTTTTGGAAAGGGTTGGTAGGGAGCGAGGTAACAGTGTTTGCTCCTTCACTCAATCAAGAAGAGAAATCATGAAAAGGGTACAATTATATTTACACAACGTTGATTCTGTTCCTCTGTATCTGTCTTTCTCTTTTCCTCATCCAAGTCTTTATAGACATTTCATCTCATAAACAGAAATCAGTGTCGAGGAAGAAAATGCACACAATCTCATTATTCATAGCCATAACCATAGACTGTTCTGTATAAAAGACTGTATAAAAGAAGTGAACGTAGCCTCCGGGTCTTAAAAGTGAAGCCAATGCGCAAGTGCCGTAAACCTGCATTCTATCTCAAGACCAGCAGGGGGCAACTCCGCAGCCTCGTGCCTATGACTGAATCACAGCCGTGATGATATACAGTACAACATCACAACCTGCTGAGTAAGGAAATGTTAACAAAAGGTGATGAAATAAATTATTTAAGTATGTTATGTAGCTCCGTGATAAAAAACAGTTCGCCAGTCTGCTGCCAGGCAACGCAGCACACACGCCAGGAACTCACAAGCTACTTTGTATTTACATTGATCTGCAGCTGTGTAACTTCGTCCAGTTCGGCTGATCAAACGTTGGCAAACCTGGATGTTGGCACGGCCGGATTCAAACAAACCTGGAGGTCTGCACAGAAGAGTCCTGGCTGTCCTTTTCCTCGTCCTCTCCTGACGAACACTCATAATTTAATTCAAATGTGATTTGGGGGAAAATATCCATCTTCTTGGTGTAATGCTATAGGGTAGTGTCAGTTTGCGTCAATGTAGCAAGTGTGACAGCTAGTTAATTAGCGGTTGTATTTATATTTATAACACCTGTGAGCGGAGTGATTTTACTGTAACATGTCCCACTCACGGAATGCCTCTCGTCCAATCAAATTACTCGGTTGGAATTAGCTGTTGTATAATTGTATATAACCTTATAGGGGTGGGAATCACCAGAGGATCCACAATACGATATTATCACAATACGATATTATCGCGATATGCTGAGTATTGTGATAATATACACTGAGATATATTACCTTTTTTTTAAACTGTAAATTATGTCCCCAAAGGAAAACTTTGTAAACATCTGTTGTATCTAATAAGATAAAGTTTCAGTCTGTTCATCTCACTTCAGCCTTTTTTTCCAAAATGTGTGTAGTGGATAGAAAAAGCTATTGATTGTATTACTCTAATAGGGTGTATTGATTGTACAATTTTATTCCCTGCCCCTAGAATCTTATGGGATTGTTGCAGCCTAAAATACCTGATTTCACGGCACATGAAGTGAGAACTGCATAAATAGTTGCCATTTTGTGTGTGTTTGTATTATCTATTTAAAATCATAGGTAATTTGTTCCATTGAGAATAAAACCGCACTGTTCTGAGTGTGGGGTGTGTACTACGCTAAGGTTAGGATAGTATTGCGATATTTTTGTGTGGCAATATTGTGTTGTCACACAGCACCAAGCATCGATATTTTTATTATATAAATTATTGATATTACAAATACAAATCAAACTTTAGTTAGTCTACTAGAGTGATATAATAAATTGCTTTTTGAGTCCACTAAATACATTTTGCTGCTGCAAAACAATGGCTTAGGTGAGAAGAACAGACTGTCAACATGTGTTTTATCTAATAGAATAAAGTATTTTCAAAGTTTTCCTTGGGGACATAATTTACAGTTGTAAATGTGTGGTAGTAAATCTCAATATATCACATTATATTTTCTCACAATACTCAGCATATCCCAACATATTTAAAATCACAATAATATTGTATCCTGACTTAAGTGTTGTGATAATATTGTATCGTGGATCCTCTTGGGATTCCTACCCCTACCACTAACCACGTGTATCAATCTCCGCACATGCAAAAGATCTGGATCTAACAGCCTCTGTCATGGTGATTTGTCTTGTCTGTTGTCCACGCCTTTCAGCCACATTTGTGTCTCTACAACCAGAAACAAGTAATTGAGTTTGATGAGGGGCTGCTATGATTGACAGACTCACAGGAAACTATGGTGATTGGACAACATTTTTCTCTAAAAGAGGAACAGAAGACGTCGCTCGAGTCTTTCCTTTGCAAGAAGGACGTTTTTGCTGTTTTGCCGACCGGATACAGCAAGAGTCTAATCTACCAGTTAGCTCTGCTGGTAGCTAAGCTCTGGATACGACACCCCGTGTATTGTTCTGATTGGTCGTAGTGTTATCCAATTGTGTGCAGTGATATTTTCAAATGCGTGCTTGGTGCCGCCCCTCGAGTTGGGCCATTTACATTACTCATAGCCAGAACCTAAATCTTTCTGGATTTGGGTCTGGATTTCCAGGCTACAACATTGCAGTGTTGTGCAGAATTCACTTGTGTTTGACAAGTCACTATCAGGGTGGTGTCCTTGGGTTCTCAGTCAGATCCACCCTCTCATCTAAAAAAAAAAAAAAAAGAAAAAGAAAAACAAGAACAGGATGGCAGTGACAAAAACGCCAAACTCAAGGCTTCACAACAGCACTTCACAAACCATTGGGTGACGTCACAGCGGCTATGTCCACTTCTTTTATACAGTGTATGTTCAAAACCAGCAATGACTGTAGCATTTCTAGCAGAGATAGATTAAAGCCTTTATGAACATCCTGTTTATCCTGCTTTTTAATTTGTAAACCAAAACACAACAGTCCTGTCCTTCACCTCTCCTCTGTGTCCTTTATCAAGTTGTTAAGGAGCAGCTCTGCAAAGTCTCTTACTTTATTATCCTGCAAAAGTAGACACTAAAGTACAATTTCCTCACGAAAAAAAGGATTTGTGTTAAAAAGTAATGCTTCATTATCACATCTTAACATCTCAGACATTTATTGTATACCTGACTTTAAAAAACCTTTATATTTAACATTGTCTTTCATCAATACAAGACATGATAAATCTTTTTTAGTCAACTCAGATCATGTCTTCAGAATCAACCATTTTTAATTTTTTAAATGAAAATATCTACTTTTGCAGAATAATAATCTAAAAGAGTATTTTGGTAGAATTTGCCTTTTAACTGTATCAGCCTCTGTGTCCAGCGGAGAACCTGAGTTTTCGATAGCAGTGCTTTGCTCATTGAAACATGGCACTGTCTAATGTCAGAATTTTTTTGTACTGTAAACACCTGATAACATGTCAATATAAAAAGCAGCCAGGTTCTTGTTGGACACACTGCTGTAGTTTCAGGTCGTATTAGCCTCCAGGTCCTCTCTAAGTCTCTCTCCACCCTGTATTCTTTCCAAACTGAAGGAAGTTGAGGAAGGCATCTCAGATGGAGGTGCATAGGGAAGGCGACGGGTCTAGCACTACCGATAACACACAGGAGGGGGCGCCACACTCCCACTCAGCCAGCACCACATACAGCCTGGGCGCTCTCTTCCAAGATTTCTGGCATGATATCTGTAAAGCTGGGTGTGTATTTTTGTTTCCCATCTTCCTAAAATGAGACGATGTACAGAGACAGGACTGGGGTTCAGTTCAGTAAATGATCCAAGATAATGTTTTTTGCCAGTTTTAGTTTTAATAAATTATGTCTTTACAGTGAAACTGGTAAATTTTAGGATTTTTTCTTGTAAGATTATTACACAGGTTATGTCTTCAGCCAGTAAACAGTCTTACTGGTTGCTCTTACACACTTTATGTCTTTATGTTTTAACTGAAATACAGAGTCAAGAGCTGAACCCCAGCCTCCGGCCTCAAACCTAACCCAAGCTTCTTCAGCTGCAACATCACCTCCTCTCCTGTCACATTTTGAACTTCAGTCTTCCAAGAGAATGTCTTAAAAAATGTATAGGTTGATGTGGGTCATTTCATGCAACAAACTTAGTCATTACAAGCTCTAACTTGAAAATTCCTGAACCCAATGAAAAACAGGCTCAGTAGGTATCACACACAGTTTAAAAACCTTGAAGTCAACGGTACAAATATCTACCACAATTACAAATAAACCCATTGAATGTAATTTTAAAGTTAGGTAAAAGTACATAAATGAGCTATTTTCAAAAAATTATTAAACAATAAAGGAGTAATATAACAGCTGTAAATGATTCATATATATGCAATGGATATTAATACTTCCCCATGAAGAACATCTAATGAAATTAAAATAATGAATCTTAAAAAATATAGTCAAAATATCAAAAAAATGAGCTTATTCATCTTCAGCAAGATCTGTGGCACTTTTTTTTAATATGCAGGACCTTAAAACTCCTGTATGTGATAGAAATTTAGTTGCAAGACAGTGAAAACTAGTGGAGATGTTAATTTTTGAAAATTAAAAATTCTTGGTTTGAAAAAAAAAAGTTTAATTTATTTGATTAATGTTAAAACAGCAACAACAACAGAAAAAATTTAATTAAAAACATATTTAGAAATTATCCTTAGTTTTTTGGATGTTCAGTACAAAGTTCAACCAAATCCAGTAAAAAATAAGCAGGAATATGATTGCAAAAATTAAATTTAGCTCCAAAATTCATAACTAGAAAAGTATTTGGAGTAGGGATGTTCTTAACAACTAATTTCTGTGATGTTTAAAATGGAAGTTTAAAATTAGACAAGTGGACAACGCTAAAAGTAAGAAAACACTCACAAAACAGTCAAAATTAAGCACAATTTAATCTGCAAGGTTAAACATTATCATTAATAATATAATTAATTACATTTTTCGATGACCAAATCGTATTTTGAATGCAGTTGAAATGTGTGGCACTCTGCACTGTGCATTTTGAACATTGCACTATTTTAATACAAACATGACGACAGTGCACTAAAGAAAGTTAAATAATATTTATTGAAGAAAATATTTTTCAGGAAAATACATCTTTAGAAAATATGCCTAATTATTACAATAACATTTTCATTGGCTGAACGCAATAGCATAAAATAATTATTTTAATATGTCTGACTGACTAGTATTTCTGGTGCTGACTAGCAAGGGTAGCAACGTTTAATCGACAAGTCAGGAGAAAAATTCTGTGTGAGTTGTCCTTAAATGACCCATGTATGTAACACTCAATGTTGATATGCGGCATCTGATTATTGGCTGTACAACTCTTAATTCCTGAGTCACCAAAATGTACCAACAGAAACAATCTTTAGTCTTTGTCACCGCTGTTTTCTGTGAGGAACGGAGAGACTTTGCAGCTGATGTTGATGTGCATGACATACTGACCATGCTGTGTTCAAAAGAAGCGTGGGGCGTTTGTCTTAGCTGGGATAAAATTAATGATCTAGTTCCTCAAATGTCTATGATTTGAATTTTGTCTTGATTGTCTCAGACAGCTGCCTCCTCCCCACGCTGTGACTTTGACCAGCTGTCAGCAGAGTGCAACAGTGTGGAACATTACTGAGCACTAAATGAGTCCTGATTTGGTTTCTTCATCTATTGATTATCTGTCGCACACACTTCAGCTCTCAGCGCGAGACACTTCCACCTTTGACAGTTCATTTTCCTCAGTGATACTGCCGTTAATCCTCTCATTCACTCACTTGTTTGCCTTTTTAACTTTAAGACGTTTGGTAATTATCATGAGAAAATCTGACTGCACGAGGAGATGCACCTATAAGATACTATAGTTACAGTGCTGCTTTGTTTTACTTGGTTAGTGCAGCAGCAGGTCGTCACTACATTCATTTTTCTGCAACACCTTCTCTCCAACATTGGCGTTTCCACTTTTGTACAAATGTTTCACACTGTTGTGTTTGATGCATCCTGTTAGTGTGATTTATCTGCATGTCAGCTTCAGAGATGTGACGTCATAACTCACTGACCTGCTGTGTTTGTATCCTAATAACTGTCTGTATCCATCTGTCCGTCTGTATATGTCTTTTCTTGTCGATCTCTCCTGCCCTCCTCTGCGTCCTCCCTCAGATCTAAGAAGTCCAAACTATCCATCGACAAGTCGACGGAGACAGACAACGGCTACGTGTCGCTGGACGGCCGGGTGACCAATCGCAGCAGCGAGGAGGGGCTTCAGCTCCACGAACAGAGATGCGATTCATTAAACAGAGGGGAGGAGGTGTGCTGGAACTCTCACGTCCAGCCGGCACACGCTCACACACCCCGCAGCACGGGGCTGTTGCTGGCGAGCAGCAACAAGGTGATCTGTCAAACCTAAGACACAAGTGCTGTTTGACTACAGGTCAACAAAATCTCTAAAGGATTTGTCTGACATGTGTTTTGTGTCTTTTAGGAGCCAGCGTCAGATGAGGCGTCCAGTGAGGAGGACCCTGAAGCATCCTACAGCGCCCTCCGCAGGGGAGTGGAAAGAATGAACAGCGACTGTACGCTCAGAAACCGCAAGAATACACACCACTACAAGAAACACTATGCTGTGGAGGTAACACACACACACACACACACAGAAGGAAACACGTTAACTCCTCAAAGCTGTGTAATCATGTTATATCAGAATAATGAGAACAGGACATAAAGTAGATATCCTTTCATATTTTTCTCATGTCTTTCAGGATGTCCCTAAGTCTGGCACCAGCTGCAGCTCCAGATGTTCCAGTCTGAGGACTCAGGACTCAGAGAGCACTCGACATGAGTCCGAGACAGAGGACCTGATGTGGGAAGACTTCCTGCACTGTGCCGAGTGCAGATCATCCTGCACCTCAGAGACAGGTCAGAAGACCAGATCAGTAAAGAACAGATAAAGAAGCATTCATGACTGGTTTGTTTAAACACGTCTGCAGCCTGTGACCGTGACTCCTTTTCTTTACAGAGGGAGAAGGAGGAGGGACGCCTGTCTGTCCCCCTGCGAAAAAGGAATACAGAGACGACCCTTTCCATCAGGTCTGTAAACGTTCTAAAATAAGAAATGAGGCTTGCTTGGGGCGAGATAATAAACATATTAGATTAAAGGTTTGATAATTGGAAATAGTTTATTATCATTATTATTATTTATTCCTCGTTCCTCATGTAGGCATGTGAGTTTTCTTAACAAATTCAAAGTAACTCAGGGTGAGTGACTGATATAAAAATGATCATTTTGTGGGTGAAGTATTCCTTTAGTAGAAATCTAACAAAAAACTTAAATTGACTGAGATGTGTCTTTTTTAGATGTCTTGGTTACATATAACTGCTTTTTCAACAGTTCTTAAATGACGAGATTCCCTTTACAGTTGACTTGCTAAATATATGTATAAAAATGTTAACTTTGTGGCTTGAGGCTTAGTGGATAGAGCAGGTGTCCCATATACTAGGCAATGTCTGTGCCACAGTGGCCACAGGTTCAGTTCCAGCCTACGGCCTCTTGCGCCATGTCATCTTCTCTCTCTCTGTCCCCCTTTCACTCTGAAACTGTCCTATCCAATAAAGGCAAAAAGCCCAAAAAAACCAACATTTCAATATGTTAACTTTGCAACCAGATGTTGTGTTAAAACCTAGGCCCTGACCCACAAATCCCAAACACTTTTGGTTGCTTACTGTGTCCCATTTGAATAGTATTACAAAGTCAGGTCAGTAATAATGTGTATGTTGATGTGCATACCTTTTGTTTTCTCCCTCAGGGTCACGTTCCCTGGCTGCACAGCTCCAACCCTGGTTTGGAGAGAGTGAGCGCCATCGTGTGGGAGGGAAACGAGTGTAAGAAGGCCGACATGTCCGTCCTGGAGATCAGCGGCATGATCATGAACAGAGTGAGTGATGATTTCTGTGAACCTGAAAGGAAAGCGTATAGTTAATATTTTAACTTTCAGTGTAAGACAACAAATGGAGGTGGAGAATTATTAAAACACGACTTTTCTCTGCCTCCTGACGCAGGTGAATCTTTACACTCCTGGTATTGGTTACCAGATCTTTGGGAACCTGGTTTCAGTGACGCTCGGCCTCACACCTTTCGCGTACAGGTACAACATACGTCCTTTCAACGTGTTAACATCTAAAAACAATTAAATACCATGGAAAAATGGATTGGAGAAATATTTAAGAAATAAATAAATTGTGCCACGTATTTTAAATTTAGTGAGGTATCACATATTACAAACTGTCAGTAGCACAAAAGTATGCAAAATTTGGATACTGGCTGTTTAACTCAGTCTTTGTCCACCTCCTGCAGGCTGGCTCAGTACCGTGACTTGGATCAGCTGACCACGCTCTCAGCCAATGAGCTGCTCTCTGTGGCGCTGGGAGGCGGGTCTGGATCAGACGCCTTGGTCATCACCATGGTAACACTCAGCTTCGTGGTGCGCGTTTGCCTCATATGGCTCTTCTTCTTCCTGCTCAGCGTAGCAGAGAGGACCTACAAACAGGTGAGGTTTGGTTTTTCTTCGATGGATACTCACCTGAACTCTCCTGTCATTTCTGATTAAACTTATTAATGTTGTTGGTTGTTTCAGAGGCTACTGTTTGCCAAGCTATTTGGTCACCTGACTTCAGCGCGCAGAGCCAGGAAGTCTGAAGTCCCCCATTTTAGGCTGAAGAAAGTTCAGAACATCAAGATGTGGCTGTCGCTACGCTCCTACCTCAAGGTAGCTCACTGATGACGTTCACACCCTCTTTAAAAATGTACCGCAGCTGTGATGTCAGTTCAGTCTCTCACTTCTGACTGTTAATTAATGCAATTAATCATATAAAATAAAATAAGCATCTATGTTAAATACTACAAATGTATCTGTTAATTTGGGAGCTGGACAGCTTGAACAAAATGAACTGTAGTTAGATTGAGTCCCGTTGTATTTGCAGAGACGGGGTCCTCAGCGTTCAGTGGATGTGATTGTGTCATCTGCCTTCCTGCTCACTCTGTCTGTTGTCTTCATCTGCTGCGCCCAGGTAAGATCTGATTGGGTCACATCATTACAGCCACATTAAACCTGTTAGTTTAGGAGTGGCTGGATTACAGTCAACATTTATGATCATTTCACATCGTGTGACAAACACAAAAAGATGTAAAAGCATGTCAGCTACAGATCTGGCTTTAGTCTAGTTTTTCTATTGTAGTTGTCACTGACAATACCATAAGGACAGCAGCAAATCTTCACATTTCATTCATCAAAATAATTGCAAATTAATGTTCTGACACTTTATTGACTAATCATTTACGCTGCACCTATATAAACTATTGGGTAGTTTAATTTATATGAAAACTTTTTGTGTGTTTTATATGCAAAGATCTTAATTTGTTAAGTAACTGAAGCTGTCAAATCAAGGGTAGTGAAGTCAAAAGTAAAACTTTTTCTGGAGTAGAAGTAGAAAAGTGGCATGAAAACCTGAGATAAACTACCTGAAATTTGTATTTAAGTAAAGTACCTGAGTAAATAAACTTAGTTACCTTCCACCACTGTTTTCAGGTTTACTTTACCTCAGTTTTGAATTGATTTTTAATTAAGCAACAACAAGTAAATTGTTTTTGTAATTAAATCATATTTTGTTAACCTCAGTGAAAACTGGTTAAGTCAGTGTTGATTCTTGCCACAACCACTGGGAGGCGCCAAAATGTTCAAATTCTACACATGGCTCTTAGTTATTCAGAGAGCTTTGATGCTTGAGACTGAATATAAGACAATTTGTACCAAATGAAACATCTCCACAGACTGATTAATGTACCTACCTCTCGTCCTCCAGTTGCTCCACGTCCATGAAACGTTCCTGGAGTGTCACTATAACTGGGAGCTGGTGATCTGGTGCTCCAGTCTGTCTCTGTTCCTGCTCAGGTTCGTCACTCTGGGCTCCGAGACCAGCAAGAAGTACAGCAACACCTCCATACTGCTCACTGAACAGGTACACTCAGAACATACATGTTTAACCACACAGCAGACACGTCTTCCTGCAACAGCCCTTTTTAGATAGGAGCAGACTCCCTATGTTGCAGAACCAATAGTAAATCTGCAGGGCGGTCCTTCGGTGGCTCGCTGAAGTCTTGTGCTCATAAACATAGTCCAACTGCGTTAAAAGTTTTAAACAAAGTCGCTATAAGTCCTTCATTTCCACAATGTTGTGGACTGAGCACACGTTTGATAAAACGGAGTTAATTAAATCTCTCGGCATCCATTTTCAAGCTCTCTGTGTGTTTGTTTCCTTGCGGACGAGAAAAGGGGGAGTGCACATTTCCGGGAGGGCGTGTTCTTTTCAAAAATGCAAGAGGTTGCTTCGTTGCCAGCCGTTTTCTCCGGTGTGTTAAACACACTTTAGAAAGGAGTGTCCCCAGACTATCAGAAGGCGGAGATCTCTGATTGTCTGGTGGCAAGACTAAGATAGGAGTTGTGCAAATTTGCAGCAAAGCCCAGTCAGTCTTCGTTCAGCATTGGCAGTATAAAAGCAAAATCGGGGAGTGCAGCAAAATGCTGCCTAGCTACTTTTGTTTATACAGAATGCGCCTTTTTCGGGGCAATGGGGGCGTGAGCAAGTAACAAAACGTGTAGCTCATTGTGTGACATAAACAGTGACGTGGGAGGGAAGCCGTGGCTGGTCAGTCCTTCGGCGATTCTCTTGTAAGTCAGCCCGTCCTTCACGGTCCCTGTCATCTGACCGTTAATGGCCTCTTTGTTTGCGAGGACAAGGAGGGCGCGCAATTCTTTGTCTCCCCAGTTGCTCATCTTTACAGTGTCTGTCAGGTTTGCGTGCGGCGTCATCAACAGCTCCTCCCACAAGTCTTCAACAGCCCCTCCCGTTGTGGAAGGCCACCTCGGTCTGTTTAAACTAAAAGGGTTATGTCAATATGACTACCCTACAAGGCGGAAAATTGGGCACCTCGGATCAACTTGCCAATCCGGCTCTGTGTGTCTAAACGCTCGCAGCTTGCCGGCAAAATGGCCCAACATTCACGGAAAATCTGGCAGCGTAAAAGGGGCTACTGACACTGATCTGTTGTGTGTTTTACAGATCAACCTGTATCTGAAGATGGAGAAGAAGCCAAACAAGAAGGAGGAGCTGACACTGGTCAACAACGTCTTAAAACTGGCTACCAAACTACTCAAGGTAACGTCTGTCCTCACAGCTCCTTTAAGAGTCATTTTAATACACTTCATTATCAGGATTCTTAACATCTAGTTGAGGCAGAGCTCTTTATTTATTCCAATCCCTGCAACAACAGTCTTTTTATTAACTCTTAAATACGCTCTGTAATCTTAACTCCTGTTTTCCCCTCCCCTCCTCTCTGGCTGCAGGAGTTGGATACTCCTTTCAGGTTGTACGGTTTGACTATGAACCCTCTGCTCTACAACATCACCCAGGTGGTCATCCTGTCCGCCGTGTCGGGAGTCATATCTGACCTATTAGGGTTTAACCTGAAGGTACGTGTGTGCTTCTTCGTTCCGTCAGGGTCAACACTGAAGACATTTTGATATTGGTCTACAGCACAAGCTCACCAAAGTTGAGCTCAACATGCATATTTACACAGAAAATATGCACTGACTGCATTCATTTCACAGTTACAATTTTAGTACAGCAAAATAAATGATCATCACTAGTAAATTAGCTTGCTGGCACAGAAGTAAATCTGTACATAAGTCTCAGTACATATAGTATGTCATTTAAAATAATCATAGTATAGCATTTGACCTAACTGATTATATGCTGTGTGTTTAAACATGAATAAACCAGCAGGTTTGTGTCTGTGTTTCTGTTCACAGCTGTGGAAGATCAAATCATGACAGTGAAGAGAGAACCAGCGTCGACCTTCACTCTCACTGACTGACTACCTGAATGCTCGTCTGACTGATCGATCTAACGGTCGACTGACTCAAAGACTGAACGTCGGCCTCGACATATCGGAGTGCTTTCACCTTCAACGTTCCCACTTTGTGCAATTACACTATTTATTTACCCACTCAGTGTTTTTACTTAGGGTTTATTTCAATTGTAGTTTGTTTCATTTGTGTGTTCCACAACACAAAACAACGCGTTGTTATTTTACCTGTCTACAAAAAGTGTTAGTATTATTAAGCATAAATTATGTTTAACGTGATGGTTTAGGTTCTCAGCTGCGTTTCCACCAGTTCAGTTTTCATTTCAGCTCAACCACACATTTGAAGGTGAAGTTCGGAGCTGCCGACGGGACAACAATCATTCATTGTCATTTTTGTGTTCTTTTTTCTTAAACTGAAAGTTATTATTTATATGTTGAGCACATTTTGAAACAAAACTTCAAACTCTGTTACGACCTTAAAGTCTGTTTTAAAAATACATGTGTTAGTCCAGTGGTTTTCTTCATACAGAAAAGAAATTGGAATTAGTCGAGGTGACTCTCTAGTTTAAACGCAAACTAATGGTTACAGTTTAATAAATTATTTTGTAGAAGACGCTTTAAACCACAGAGTATTCCTGGCATTTAACAAACCTCTACTCGTACCAGCTCCCAGGTGTAAGCGCTTTTTAATAATTACATTTACATATCTGTTAATGGATGTTAACATCACCGTTCTGCAGGTGACGTTTTTAATCTGCTGACTTACTTGAGATAACTGTTCCCAGGTTTTGTTCTCACCAGGAGAGGCGCAATGCCAGATGACATCAGCACTGCAAAGACACAATCATCCAGTTAATGGAAATAATAGAACGTGGAGAACAGGTGACATTTACAGAAAACTCTGAAGTTTAAACTGATTTTTCTTTTCTTTTTTTAGTTTTAATTTCATGACCCTGATACCTGGGTTTGACAGTATTTCCAGTAATAACGTGTGTACTGTAGTCTCACGTCCTCACAGAAGACGATCCGTTATTGATTTCCGTTAGAGCGTGACAACTTCTAACTTTGGCCTATTTGCTGCAGGTGAAACATCCTAAATTAGTAAACATAATCACTTCCTTTAGCTTCTGATTAGCTCTGATCACATGCAGTTTTCTTGTTTCCTTGATGATCCTGATTCATTGTTTGTGTAAATTTACACAGATTTTTTTTTTTTTTCCTGGAAGTCAAGGATCCTTCTTTGATAGGCCATACCTTCAAGGAAGGATCCTACAGAGGCAAGGCAAGAGTCCTTCCTAGCATTCGATAAACACACATTGGAACAGGCTAACGAGTGTCCTCAGGTGTACATCATTAACCTTCTGGGGAATTGGGGGGGGGGGGGGGGGGGGGGGGGGGGGGTTTCTGGGTACTGTGATAATTTCGGCACTCTCTAATGTCGAACTATTTAACCTCCTGAGACCTGAACTTTTGTGTGGTATGCCTTTTTAATTTCTCCTAGCTATTTGGGATCAGTAGGACCCGATAAATATAAAAAACGAAACATTGTCAACGATAACAAAGTCCTAGTGTCTTCAAACGAGTACTTCCTAATTAACAGCGTCTTATTTTGTTACTGTTGCTAAATTTGGTCAAATTTGTTGCCATACCAAACTGCAAACATAGTTAATCATAGGTAAACAAGTTTAAATCGTAAAATGTTTCTACATGGATTAGTGTATTGTGCTCTTACTGCCACTAGATGGCACAAAAAAGTGTCCACAAACGAGGACAACAGGTCTGAGTTAAGTAGAATGAAGTATACGGTCAAGTAAACCCAAATGTGATGTCCTCATATGAAGACACAGGGTCTCGGGAGGTTAAGCAGTGTTTTTATTTATCCAGATAAATGGATAATAAATGGTGAAAGTTTCATTGAAGAGGCCCTGCCTTCACTTCCAGCAAATCGTGCGCAAAGAACTGTGGGTACTTTATACCCGCTGAGGATACACACATGCATCCTTGAACATTCTCTAAAGGAAGGTCTCTGTCCTTGGTAGAATTGAAGGATGCTTGACACTGGAACTGTCCTTCGGCGGGATTTGATGACGTAGCATCCTTGAAATTCAGCCATGTAAGGATCCTTCCTTGACTTTGAGAAACACCCCGTGTCTGAAATCACTCCTTACTTACTGCATTTCTTGTTCACCATTTTGTTTGTCTGAATTCTGAGTGACACTGTTGCTTTATACAAAATCCAACAAGGGATTGTACATTTTTGTTACACGTGCGCAAAATGACTGCAGTTTGTGTCGTAAATGATGGATTTATAAGTGTCCGAAATATGAGTTTACAGTAAAGTATTGGGTCTACAAGAAACAGTGAATGAGTAAACAAAGGAGTGATTTTGGATACAGTTTATTATTCTATTCTAAAGCAAATAATAATAATGTACAACACCACATTTACTTGGCTAAAGAAATACATTTAATAATAATTCAATTTAGCTTTTTGGAACTCCTGTCAAAAAGGAATATTTTAGTATTGTGGCTGTGCTGCAGTTTAGTTGAACACCTTCAAATGTAATTATAATATATCCCGCATATCATAACAGCTCGAAGAGTTTAAGTCCTGGAAAATGTTTTGGACTGTCTGGTCAGATAGTGTTGGTCAACGGTAGACTGATTCGTCATGGTGGATCTTATATAGAATTTGATATCAAATTCCCAGAGCTAATTAATTTGTAGATTTGTGTGCATGACAATTGGCACTGATCAAAATTAAAAGTTAGCCACTGCAGTTAAAACAGGTCGGAACGTGAATGAAAATATGCACTTTAAAAACAGATTTAAAATGGAAGAATAGAAGTTACATCTTGTTTGAATGTCAAAGAGATTTTTTTTATTGTACCTCACCTGCTTGACACAGTACGTGTTTGCTGTTCAACAGAATGCGAGCTCTGAACTTCAGAATATTGTATCGACAATTCACATCACACCCTGAAGTAGATCCCAAATGGTACATGAAGTTATACCCACAGAAACTATCTTCAATGTGATTAAAACGCTGTGGTTGCCTCAGTTAACGAGTTAGCATCATGCTAACTGAAACTAACTTCATTATTCATAAAAAATGCTAGCATAATCATCTTCAGTGTGTTTGAGGAGGAAGACCAAAGTGCTTATTTTACCGTTTGTTTTTGTTTGTCTGTGCTGAAAAAAAAAAAAAAAAGAATGTATTTGCAGCATCATGCTTTAAAAATATGTTTCCCTTTGGAAATACTTTAAGTTGTATTATTGTGTACTTTTTGGCATTGTGCTTTTTGTTCTTTCGTCATTCATTTGTAAAGGTTGTTTCTCAAGCTCGTCGGAAAGAAGAGGCACGTTTTACTGTTTTTAAGGAACAAATAAGTTTGAAATGTATGTTTGAAAATGAATCTAGGTAAAGGACTCTATGTTGTGATTCTGTTTTCAAAGAGTCTGAATATTTAGATTTTTTTGTGAACTGGTCTGTCCACAAGGTCTACATTTTTATAATAAAAATTAAAATAAATGGATGTCGACTCAGATTCTTTTGTTGGTTTTTCAGTACCCCCCATAATTACATATAATTTCCAACTTTGTAGACAGCAATGCTTACATTGATAAAACATTAACTTTATTACATAAAAATGTGATAAAAACAGTCATAGTATAGTATGTGATAAAAAAAATGTGATAAAAACTATGACTGTTTTCAACACAATTTGATGACATACTATACTATGACTGTTTTAATCACATTTTCATGACATACTATGCTATGACTTTCTCACGTTTTTATGACATACTATGCTATGACTGTTTTTATCACATTTTTATCACATACTATACTATGACTGTTTTAATCACATTTTAATGACATACTATACTATGACTGTTTTAATCACATTTTGATGACATACTATACTATGACTGTTTATCACATTTTGATGACATACTATACTATGACTGTTTTCATTACATTTTTGACATACTATACTATGACTGTTTTAATCACATTTTTATCACATACTATGACTGTTTTTTATCACATTTTTATGACATACTATACTATGACTGTTTTCATTACATTTTTATGACATACTATACTATGACTGTTTATCACATTTTTATGACATACTATGACTGTTTTCATTACATTTTGATGACATACTATACTATGACTGTTTCTATCACATTTTTATCACATACTATACTATGACTGTTTATCACATTTTTATCACATACTATACTATGACTGTTTATCACATTTTTATCACATACTATACTATGACTGTTTATCACATTTTTATCACATACTATACTATGACTGTTT